CTGGGATAATTGGGATGGGAGTGTCGTAGACAGTGCGATTGGCACAGGACAGAGCGGAGTTTAGGGCTTTTGTACATAGGGTCGCTGTGAGTCGCAGGCGACTCGACGGCACATAACAACAACAACAACAACAACTTGAACCTTTAGATTAATGCATCTAATAATTTGTGGGGAAAATCTCAGCTTTTACCTTTTTTAGCTGTGGTATTGTCAGTTTCATTGTTTCTCTCTTCTACTGGGATCCCAAATAAATACATGTCAGACCTCTATTTGTTCACCAACTTTCTGCACCCACAATTTTTATAGAACTTGAAGTTTTGAGAAATGTAATATATATATAAGATTTTATTGCTGATTAAATGAGCTCAAATTCAATAGCTGAAAACTGGAAAGGCATTAATTTAAATATACATGCAGACACATATACAGACCCTGAGAAGTTTTATGATTACTATTTGAAGGACAGTTATAATAAAAAGTTTCAAATAATAGTGAAATGTTTCTTCAAAACTAAAAAGAAATTATTGAATATCTCACTTCTATATAAAATTATAAGAATTATATCAAAATAGATTTGTAGTTTCTGAAAATAAAATTTTATTATCTAAAGAATGTGTTTTTTTAAAAAGTTTTTACTGGAAAAATGTGAGGAAAGTTAACTTTTTCTACTTTTCCCTTCAATTTATAACATGGCTTATATGCATATTTTTCTTTCCATTTATTAGGATGGTCTTGTTAATGTAGGATGGATGGACTGTGACACCCAGGACAACCTTTGTAAAAGTTTGGATATTAAAACAAATACTGCAGTCTATTTTCCTAGTGGAGCCACTTTGGTATGAATCACTTTAAAATAATGTTCTTTGTATGACTACGCACACATGGGAAAAAAAGGAAATGAATCACTTTATATTAGCTGATTGCTAAACATCTAACTTTTTTAAACGTAATTTTATAGAACAAGTATTTTATTTCTGGTATTCTGTTTAATGCTTGTTTAATTTGTAATGTCTCTTGAAAGTATTATTTTTAAACTAGTGTAAACCATTACACTTTTAAACCCTGAAGATATGGAGTACACTTTTAACTTAAATGAAAGAACCTTATTCCATGAGCTTTCATTGGTTTTCATTTATTTCTGTGTTCTCTATTGTTAAAGATTTTCAGTAGATGTGGCTGAACTTCACATATTCCAGGCAAGCCCTGGTGGTAGAATGGTTAGAACATCAAGCTGCTAACCAAAAAATCAGCAATATGAATCTAACTAGACTTTATGAAGAGATGAGACAGTCTGCTTTTGGAACCCCTTACAGCCTGAGGAGCCCCTATGGGTCACTATGAGTTTTAATTGATTTCACAGCAGTAGGTTGATTGGATTCTAATGTAAACTCAAATTTGGAAGACGATTGCTATGAATTACCTTCCTAATTTTAAGAATAAGGAAACTGAGGCTTCTGTCAGTTGTCAAAGAACTTTTAAATAAATAAGGGATATGGAATACACTGGTAGAGGAAAAAACCCACCTCATTTAGTTTTCTTTGCTATATTCTCATTTTCCCTGTTAATATTAAGTAGCACATAACCATTGTAGAAATTCAAGACACAGTTTAGAAATGGGTAAAGAAGCAGAACTTCCTAAAACTCAAGCCACCCAGTGTAGATAACCACCATTACATCTTTGTAGATACTTTTCAGTATCTTTACTTATGCATACATGTAATTATGACTCTGTTCCAAAAGCTGTTACAAGTTTATATCTATGTCCCAGATGTGTATCTCCATTCCAGACATAAGTACCTACTGACTCTTCAACATGTACACTAAGATTTTAGTTAACAAATCAAATATCTTTACTATAAGTTGATTGTCCTATACATCTCCACCTACAGTTTTTCATGTCTCACTGCATGAAAGCTCCATTCTGTGTTATTCAAGTCAAAAATGTTGAAGACATTCTTTGACCAGTGATTAATAGAAGTAGGTGCAGCAGTATGAGGGACTATGTCGGACCGTACAGAGATCAGTTTTATACTGTGGATATCGTTGATGAGAACAGTTCCCTTTTGTGAACTTGATAGCGGTCATACTTGGCCTTCCCCACATTGCTCTTCCTCCTTTTAGGGTTTCCTAAGCTGTAATGTTGACAGAGCTGACTGCTGCATCTTTCTCCCTTGGAGTGACTGCCAACTTTTCCAATATCAGCTAGTTACAAAACACTGCACCTAGTGGTCTTTCAAGAGTCTGCTGCCCTCTTTAAGAATGGTAGGGTTAAATAAAGTTTAAAAAAAAAAGCACCAAACTAGACCATCTAACTGTATTTGAAAGGTCAAATTGAGGCTAGAAAAATTTCCTGTTTGGTTTAACTCTACCACAGTCTAACTAAGACCACAGGGTTATAGTGAAGTTCTGGTGGATTAAGCCACCATTCATTTGTCGTTTTGTTGTACTGTAGTGTCATGCATGTTTTGTGATGCTGGAAGCTATGCCACCAACATTTTAAATATTAAAAATGTTCCCTGTAATGGACAGGTGTCAGCAGAACTTACAAACTGAGATGGACTAAAAGTTGGAAATGTACATTAAAAAGTAGACAGTTAAATCTTTCTAAGTACCATTAGGACATTGTATGGTATAGAGGTGAACATCCCAAGATTGAAGGCACTCAACAAAACACCACAAAGTAAAGTCTAGCTTAATGGCGTGGATGGAGTAGAACTTTCAGGACCTTAATTTGCATATATAGTCCATCTCAAAGCAAGGAGAAAGCTGCACACATCTATAAATAATCAAAACATGGAATGTGTGGAGTATGAATTGTAAGCTGAAATGTATTGGCCATTTCAAATTTGACCTTCATATGGCCTACTATACCACAAATGAAAGTGCTCTCATGGCCTTGTGGTAAGAGCTGCAATCCCAAAAGCACCATCTGTTCCATGCAGTCTCCCTACAGGCAATATACTGCTTCTGAAAACCTGCTGGAGGGTCAACTATTGGTCACTTTCAACTTGATAGCACACAGCAACAGTACCTGAAATGACAAAATGAGGAGGGATGGTGTACCATTCATAATTGGAAAGAACATTTCAGGATCTGTCCTGAAGTACAACTTGTGGAAGTATAAGCTGTGAGTAACAGGATGCTACAATCTATATTCCTACAGAGAGGATCAGTTACTATGACTGTTCATCAAATTTCTGTACCAACCCTTAATGCCAAAGATTAAGAAATTGAAGATTTTTTTAAACTTTAGGCGTCTAAAATTATTAATCATGTAATCAAGATGTTGTTAGTCTCCTCCTGTACCAGTCAGATCTGATTTGACAGTACACACACAAAAAATAATTTTAAAAAAATGTTGTTGTTGTTGTTGTTGTTATGTGCTATTGAGTCACCTGCAACTCATAGCAACACTGTGTACAACAGCCTTAACTCTGTCCTATCCTGAGACAGTCTCACCATCTCTGACACACCTGGCCCCATTATCCCAATCACTGAATCAATCCATCTCATCGAGGGTCTTCCTCTCCTGTGCTGTCTCTCCACCCTTCCAAGCATTACATCCTTCTCCAAGGACTGGTCCCTCCTTGCAACATGTTCAAAGTATACATTGGTCAAAATGGAAAAGTTGGAAACAAAGATTGCTCTGGAAACATATGGCCTTGGTGACAGAAACAGGGCCAGAGAGATCGCATGATTATATATTAGAAGACCAGCAATTTACTCATTGAAATTACATCTTTTTTTGAACAACATAAACACTGGCTGTACATATAGACCTTGCTGTATAGAATACATGAAAATAAAGTTAACTGTGGAAAGAGACAATGGAGATGCTTAATCTGGCTAATCAAAATAGCCCATCAGTTGCCTATATGGAAGTGATGGTACACAACAAGAAGCTTAAGAAAATTAAAACAGGAGAGAAGGACTGACTGCAAGAGAGATTCCCACCAGGTTATGTGAGACCTGAAATGGCAGCTGCACAGAGGTGCTGGGGCTTCCCCATACCCTCTACCCTAGGTAGAGTGCAGCCATCCAGGAGAAGCTGGTCTCCAGCTGTTCTGTGCACCAAGGACAATTACAGACTTTAGGAGAGGATGATTGAATACAGGAGAGATTCCTGCCAGACTGTCGGAGACTTGAGAGGACAGCTGCATGAGATACCTGAGGCTGCCCTCCTACCCCTGCTCTATATAGAATATGGCCATCAGGAGAAAACCGGTCTCCAGCTCTTCTACGCACTAGCAAGGACAATGACAGACTTTAGGAGAGCAGGTCTAAATGCAGAAGAGATTCCTGCTAGGCTACCTGAGACCTGAGAGGGTGGCTACATAGGAGTACCTGAGGCTGCCCTCCTCCCTCTGCCTGCATAGATAAAAGGCAGCGTTTAAGAGAAACTGGCCTCTAGTCAGGCTGCTCTGTGCACCATGGAAGATAATTAGAAGACTTTAGGATAGACAGGTGGGCAGCACTCAGACAAGATTCCACAGGGCTTCACTGCAAACTAGAGAGAAGTTGAAGGACCTTAGGAGAGGTGAACTTTTCTTCACAGGGCCAGAAAGGACTCCTGGTAAAATGAGTTGCCCTCCCCCATAAAAAGAATATTTTAAGTCTGCAGCTAATCAGTAACATCATAAAAATAAAGAACTGTCAATAAGCTACACAAACACAATAGAAACAGCCTACCATATACCAAGGGGAAAAAAGCCACAGAATGTAAAAAAAGCAGCAGGCCATTTGAAACATTGTGAAAAGACAAATCTAAAAAAGGAGATCATATTGCAGATCCAGTGAATACTCCAGACAGGGAGCCAAAATAAGTATATTGACATGGAGGAATATAAACAACTGCTGGAGAGGAGTACTGAATGTACCATGGACTGCCAAGAAAACAAACAGATTCAGCCTAGAGAGGGTTAAACCAGGCTGCTCCTTGGAGGCAAGAATTCTGGGGCTTCATCTGACATACTTTGGACATGTTGTAAGGAGAGACAGGTCTTTAGAGAGGGACATCATGCTTGGTAGGGTGGAGGGACAGCGCAGGAGGGGAAGGCCCTCTATGAGGTGGATTGATTCAGTGATTGGGGTAATTGGGATGGGTGTGTCAGAGACAGTGCGATTGGCACAGGACAGAGCAGAGTTTAGGGCTGTTGTACATAGGGTCGCTATGAGTCGCAAACGACTCGACGGCAACAACTGAAGAAAAATCCAAAAGATTGGAGAATTAATTGAAACCGTAATAAAAAGGCACAAAAATTTAAAAAAATTATCACAAAACAAAGAGGGTATAGTCAACACTGGAAATAACAGAAATGCATGAAAATAGAATCCAGAATATCAAGATTAAAATGGCAGAAGTTTCCAACATGCTGGAGGAACGAAAGGAACAGAGAATCAGCTAGAAGACAAGAACCTTAATGGAATACACTAAAGGAAACAACAGAAGGAAAATGACAAAAACATTAGAATCATGTGAGGTAACATCAAAAGGAACAACATATTTATGATCAGAATCTCAGGCAAAGCACTGAGCAAACTGGAAAGGGTACTAGAAGACTTCCCAGGTATCATGAAGAATAAGGAAATCCACATTCAAAAATCTTACCGAATCCCAAACAGACTAGACCCTGAAAGAAAGACATCAAATCATACCAGAGTCCAAGCCTCCAAAATAAAAGGTAAAAAGAGAGTCATTTTCAAAGGAGAACCAATTAGATTAAGTTATAAGTTTTCAGTAGCAGCCATGCAAGCAAGAATAAAATGGGATGGCGTATACAGAAGGCTGAAAGGAAAAAAATTGCCAGCTGAGGATTCTGTACCTAGCAAAGAGCTTCATCAAATATGAAGGAGAAATTAGGTTATTTGCAGAAAGGCAGGAACCTAAGAAATTTGTGAAAACAAGACCAAGTTCTAAGAGAAGTCCTTCACACAGACACACCAAAGGAAAGTGGATTAACCAGAAACAACAGGAAAAGAAACACAGCAAAATGGCAGTGATAATATCTGGCTTCTCAGTAATCACACTTAATGTGAATGGCTTAAGTAGCAGAATGGATTTTTTTAAAAAAGCCAAAAAAAAAACCCCTTTCCATATTTTGCGCACACACAAGAATCTTACAAAGACTAAAACTTAAAAATTGGAAAAACATATACCGAGCAAATGGCTTCTACGTAAAGGTTGGCATGGCAGTATAAATCTCTCATAAAATAGACTTCAGAATGAAAACCACCATTAAAGATAAGAAAGGGCACTATACAGTGATTAAAGGCACCACAGATCAAGAAGACATAACCTTTTTCAGTATCTGTGCACCAAATGATCAACCTACAAAATATATAAAACAAAAGTTGACAGACTTGGAAAAATAAATAGCACCATGATAATGGTAGTGATAGTTGTTGTTATGTGCCATCTTGTCAACTACAACTCATGGTGACGCTATGAACAATAGCTCTGAATTTATGTCCCCATCGCTGTATTTGTATTAACAGCTACTTCTTTGAGAACCAGCAGTAGAATATTGGCGGGGGTGGGTGGAGAATAGGCTGAGGAAAAAAATATGGGCAGAAATGGTGGACATTTATTAGTAGGAAGCTGTGTCTCTTTTTAAGGTGTTTGTGGCATAAATAAGATCCCTAGTTCTAAAACCCTGGCGGCCTAGTGGCAAGAAGCTACACTGTGATCCTGAAGGCATACAGTTCAAGGCCACCAGCTGCTCTGTGGGAGAATGAGCAATCTCCTCCGGAGCCTGTGGAAACTCCACTGGAGGGTCAGTTCCCACTCTACAGTACACACAAGAAGTTCTGAAACATTTAACATAAGATTTTTGTTGTTATGTTTTACAAAACTGGTAGAGGGTTTGATTTTTTTAGATTAACACTTCTGAAAGTCTCTAATTTTTATTAGAGAGCACATAATGGGCACTGAGCCATTCTAAATTTTCTGTTTTAAGTTCTTACCAAATTATTCGTTAAATTATGACTGGCATGTCTTGAGACCAATTGCCATCGAGTTTACTTCAACTCAAAGTGACCCCCCATACATGTCAGAGTAGAACTGTGCTCCAGAAATTTTTGCAGATTTTGTGGCTTAGGTTTTACAAGTTGATTGCCAAACTTTTATTCTAGGGCATCTCTAGGTGGATTTCAGTCTTTAATTGGTCCGTAAGTAACTGAGTTAATTGTTTACCCCACCCAGGGACTTCCCATGAAGTAAAGTAAATCAAATAATCTAATAAAAAAATGCCTAACACATTTGTAAAGCATTGGAATTCTATAAAACATTCAGCATTAAAATGAGACTAACTTTATTCCTGCCTTTTTTTCCCTGATGATTCAGAGGTCACACTAGGATTTTATTCTTTTTTCAAGGTTTTTCAAGAGTTTAATACAATTAGTAGAAAATTGTCATGAAATAAACCCTTAACAGTGGAATTCACTTTCTAACTTACATCTCTAATTTTTTAAGAAATACCTTAGTTTACAGTATTTATAATAATTTCTGAAAATATGAGATGCTTTCTTGGGAAGAGGACATTTAGATTGATAAACTTGTGTGACTCTTTTCTTAAAAGTTCTTGCTGGAGAAGGAGGGGGCAATCTCCTCCTGTACCAGTCAGATCTGATTTGATGGTACACATAAAAATAATACAATAAAAATAAAAAAAAAATTTTAAAATTTAAA